GGCGCCCCCAGGGATCGGCTTCAGCGGGGAGAAACCCGGCCTTGGGCAACCACGAGGACTCGGCCCCGTGGTGATACAGCAAGAGACAGGCAGATGCAGAGAGAGACACGGAGATACAGGGAGACACAGGGAGACACAGGGAGAGAGAGGAGACAATGAGATGCAGAGAGAGACACGGAGATACAGCAAGAGACAGGCAGATGCAGAGAGAGACACGGAGATACAGGGAGACACAGGGAGACACGGAGACACAGGGAGAGAGAGGAGACAAGGAGATGCAGAGAGAGACACGGAGATACAGAGAGAGACAGGCAGACACAGAGAGAGAGACACACACAGAGAGAGACACGGAGATACAGGGAGACACGGAGACACAGGGAGAGAGAGGAGACAAGGAGATACAGAGAGAGACAGGCAGATACAGAGAGAGACAGGGAGACAGGCAGATACAGAGAGATACACGGAGACACAGGGAGACACGGAGAGACAGGGAGACACAGGGAGAGAGGAGACAGGGAGAGAGGGTAGACAAGGAGACACAGGGAGAGACACGGAGAAACGGGGACAGAGAGGAGACAAGGAGATACAGAGAGACAGGGAGACACAGGGAGAGAGAGGAGACAAGGAGACGCAGAGAGAGACACAGGGACAGAGAGGAGACGAGGAGATGTAGAGAGAGACAGGCAGATACAGAGAGAGACAGGGAGACACAGGGAGAGAGGAGACGAGGAGATACAGAGAGACAGGAGACGCAGAGAGAGACACAGGGAGAGAGAGAGAGACAAGGAGACGCAGAGAGAGGCACAGGGAGAGAGAGAGGAGACAAGGAGATACAGAGAGAGACACGGAGACACAGGGAGAGAGAGAGGAGACAAGGAGACGCAGAGAGAGACACAGGGAGAGAGAGACAAGGAGACGCAGAGAGAGACACAGGGAGAGAGAGGAGACAAGGAGACGCAGAGAGAGACACAGGGAGAGAGAGAGAGAGACAAGGAGACGCAGAGAGATACACAGGGAGAGAGAGAGAGAGACAGGGAGACACAGGGGGAGAGAGAGGAGACAAGGAGATACAGAGAGACAGGGAGACACAGGGAGAGAGGAGACACGGAGACACATGGAGAGAGAGAGACACGGAGACACAGAGAGGAGACACAGGGAGAGAGAGAGAGGAGACACAGGGAGAGACAGCGAGACACAGGGAGAGAGAGAGGAGACACAGGGAGAGACAGCGAGACACAGGGAGAGAGAGAGGAGACTAGGAGACACAGGGAGAGAGAGAGACACAGGGAGAGACAAGGAGACACAGGGAGAGAGAGAGGAGACAAGGAGATGGGCGGCCGGGGAAACGCATACCACTTGTAAAGCTGTGGGAAGTGTTAAGAACCCTAACATGGCGGTGTCGTTGGTTTATCGCAACGTGTCGCCTCGTCTCCCCTCACACGTGACACGTCAAGCCATGTGGGTGTCAAGTACACAAGCCTTGCGCCAAAACAAGACGCAGAATCCACTCGTCAAACCAATCACCAATCAAGTACGGGCAGAGCTGGGAAGGCGTTTGTGAGGATGGTTTGACAAAGCCGTCATTAATGTGTAATTCCGCACTTCTTCTTTGGTTCTTTCGGTAAAGTCACGTAGAATGAGAATAAAATAATAAAATAACACAATACAATTCTCACGACGTTTCGGCCACAACGCAAGCGGCCGTTGTGGCCGAAACGTCGTGAGAATTTTATCGAGTTATTTTATTATTTTATACTCAATCTACGTGACTTTACCGAAAGAACCAAAGAAGATGAATCCTTGCAGTCACGAAAGCTTTAAATCAAAATTCCGCACTTGTAAAGTATTTACATTTTTCACAGGACATCGCTGTACTGAGCGCAATGTTTAGATCAGCGGGGGGGGGGGGAGCATGAAGGTATCAGACTGTCGAGTGTCCACCACTGGAATCGGGCGACGTTGAAGTGGCAAGCGATGATTTCACGACTCTGCCGAGCGACTCGAGCTGACTTTCTGGGCCCTCCAAGTCACCTGCTCTTGAAAGGGCACACCGCGTGTGGGTCATTGACGAGTGTGTTGAGTTTGTTGCGGTTGTTAATTGTGCTTGTGCACCACCGCCCAACGCATCAGCAGCAGTGTCAACACATAATGCGTGTAATTGAGGACTCATCTATGTGGTCAATAGACTTGGAAATTACGTTCTATGTATGTATAACGTTTTTCGCACGGTACGTAACCAACCGTGCTAATCGGAAGAACAAACACAACTAAACGGAAAAATAAATTAGTTTTCAATCTGCCTCTCTAGACAAGACTTTGGAATGCCCTCCCATCGTCTCTCTTTGCCGAGCTCCAACAATATAAACCTCGATCCATTCCAGAGAAACTCTTACCTATTGCGATGACCTTGGCGATGTTTATTGCCGATTTGCCTGCGCGTTTCGGGGGCCTTCGGGCCTGTGCACCCAGCAACTGTGCAGATGAAAATAAAAATATCGCTGGAACCAAAACACCTGGTTTATAGGGAAGAGTGGACTGGCGTCCGTTATTTCAGATGTCTATATCGGGCACTCTTCTTGTGTTCCCAGTATAGTTCACGGCGTGCTCGCATTCAATAATATTTGTCGTGAGGGATGCCGATGTTGATTGAAGACAGACGCACGTTTTCTCACGCACATGATACCCCGTAATAATTCAGCCATGGCCTAATTATAACCACGGCCATAATACCCCAGTTTTTTTTTTAAGTTGCACAATTTGTGTATAATATTGTGCAGTACTTGCAACCCGCACATCACTTGGACCGTCAGACTCTCCCCACCTTCAACCGGCCAGCAAAACTTGATTTTGTTTAAACATAAATTGAAAGTACCCCTCGTTAGAACGACAGTCGTCCCCCGACTCTCAACGCCCTCCCCTCTCCAGCACCTCTGGGTGCCCCCCTCTTGCGCGTTACAACCCCCAGTGCCCCCCGCTCCACAACTCGCATATCCCCCCAGTCGCCCCCTTACACCCGCACGCACCCCCCACCCCCACGCATCCCCTACCCACCCCCCACCCCCACGGGACCCCCCCCCCCCACGCTCTCCCACTCCCACGCATCCCACCACCCTACGCACCCTCCACGCACCCCCCACAACCACGCACCCCCACGCACACTCCACCCCACACACCCCCCACCCTCGCTTTCCCTCGGTGCCCCCCCCCACGCATCCCTCACCGGGCGCCCCCCACCCCCCCCCCCCCCGTACCGGCCACCCGCGTGCCCCTTCGCATCTGCGTGCTGGGCGGCGTGTGGCCTCCCAAGTCAGCCAGCCAACGAAACTTTTGTTGGTGTTGTTGCTAATATGGTACGACAGTGGCAACTTTCAAGAGCACCCACAAACTGAAGGCATTTTCAAACCGGCGGGTTATTATCCCTGGCAGGCGAAGGGGAAAGTCAGAATTTAACCATCAACTTTGCGACGCAACCCTCCATCCAGTGGCGCAAATCGCAAAGCGACCACACAAAACTTGCATTGGATTTCGCAGTTACGTTCCGTGAACATCTCCTTAATGTTTTTTTGTTTTAATGAGCAGGTAATGTGCCCTCCTTCACACATCAGTCCCTCAACATAAAATGTAACAGTAGTTTAAAAGAGTAATATTGCCAACATTTTGGGACGTTATGTTTATTAACATCATATTTCAATATTATGAAAGAGGAACCGAATTTTGATTTAAAGCTTTCGTGACTGCAGTAATTCATATTCTTAGTTTTTTTTCGGTAAATTCACGTTGAAGAGAAACAACAAAATAATAAAATATATATAAAACAATAAAAAAATTCTCACGACGTTTCGACCATAACTCAAACGGTCATCTTCAGGTGTGTTGGTTTGCATAAATTTATTTTTAAACCAACACACCTGAAGATGACCGTTTGAGTTATGGTCGAAACGTCGTGATAATTTTTTTATTGTTTTATATATATTTTATTATTTTGTTGTTTCTCTTCAACGTGACTTTACCGAAAAAAAACTAAGAATAGGAACCGAATTGTCAGCATATTTAGTAAGTACAAAAAGAAAATGCATACGAATAATTTAGAGAAAGGCAAGTAACATTTCTCGGACATGTAATGAGAAAACAAGAGACTCAATATAAAGGTTTGACTGGGAAAATAATAGTAGCAAGAAGTCAGGGAAGACAACGAATTAAGTAGTATAAGCAATTGGAACAATCTGATGCAACTGGGAGAAGTATCCGATGTAGAGTTCTTGAGTAAATGTCATGGACAGAGCTAAATGGAAGAAGGTCATGATGGCCAATGTCATTGAGAAAGGACACATGGCTCATACACAGATTATTTTGGAACTTGTCATCTCCACGGTGGCCGCGTACGCCACAATGCTAAAATGCAAATAAAGTAAAATATTAAAGTAATATTTGACCACACGACATCTTCAGATTTTTCCTTGAACATGAGATACTAGAACACACACATCATCGTCAACGTTTCTTTAGAGCAGTGTTTTTGTGTGTGTGTGTGCTCAGTTTTCCGTCCTTCTCCCGCACCTCCGATGAGCTCGGTGCGAAGTAAGTCCAACATTGAGTGCGTACAAACACGCGATGTGAAATCCGCGTGCATCGTGCCTCTAGCCAGAGCAGAATCCTTCACTCATTTTCAGAGGGGGGGGGGGGACTTTCGCCGATATGACATCATCAGTGTGAGGGCCGCCACACATTTAAAACGGTGGAGGGGGGGGTGTCACGTGTTGTGTATTGTTGGGGGGGCCGCCGGTGCCCCCCCCCCCCCCCCCCCGCGGTGGCCTTGCAATGAAGGACACTGAGCCAGGGTGATGCCGGTGTCAACCACGGGGAGATTGACACTCACCCTTCGCTCACTGCGCCGGTGTCGTAATAAAATAATCAACACGTGCAGTGGGTGCACGGCCTCGCTCCGCCCAGCCCCCCCCCCCCGCTCGCAGAGGACCCCTATAAGACTCCGGGACTTTTCGCTCGCTCCGCCACCTTCTTGTCGCGGCACACAAGGAGGGTCCCAGGACATCAAGAAGAGAGAGAGAGAGAGATGGCACCGAAGCCCCCGGCTAAGAAAGCGGCCGAGCCCGCCGCCGTCGCTCCCAAGCCACCTCCCCCCGAGCCGCCCAAGGAGGCCAGCTTCGACCCCGCTACGGTCAAGGTACCCAGCGCACACACACACATAGCAGCACACACACACACAGCAGCACACACACACAGCATTACACACACAGCATTACACACACAGCATTACACACACAGCATTACACACACAGCATTACACACACACACAGCAGCACACACACAGCATTACACACACACAGCAGCGGCAGCACACACACAGCATTACACACACACACAGAAGCAGTAGCACACACAGAAGCAGTAGCACACACACAGAAGCAGTAGCACACACACAGAAGCAGTAGCACACACACACAGAAGCAGTAGCACACACACAGAAGCAGTAGCACACACACAAACACAGAAGCAGTAGCACACACACACAGAAGCAGTAGCACACACACAGAAGCAGTAGCACACACACAGAAGCAGTAGCACACACACAGAAGCAGTAGCACACACACACAGAAGCAGTAGCACACACACAAACACAGAAGCAGTAGCACACACACACAGAAGCAGTAGCACACACACACAGAAGCAGTAGCACACACACAGAAGCAGTAGCACACACACCGAAGCAGTAGCACACACACAGAAGCAGTAGCACACACACACAGAAGCAGTAGCACACACACAGAAGCAGTAGCACACACACACACAGAAGCAGTAGCACACACACAGAAGCAGTAGCACACACACACAGAAGCAGTAGCACACACACAGAAGCAGTAGCACACACACAAACACAGAAGCAGTAGCACACACACAGAAGCAGTAGCACACACACACAGAAGCAGTAGCACACACACAAACACAGAAGCAGTAGCACACACAAACACAGAAGCAGTAGCACACACACAAACACAGAAGCAGTAGCACACACACAGAAGCAGTAGCACACACACACAGAAGCAGTAGCACACACACAAACACAGAAGCAGTAGCACACACACACAGAAGCAGTAGCACACACACACAGAAGCAGTAGCACACACACACAGAAGCAGTAGCACACACACAGAAGCAGTAGCACACACACAGAAGCAGTAGCACACACACAAACACGTTCCACAAGGGTCATCATCACCCAGCACCTCCTCCTGTGCCACGGCTTTCGAGGCACGAGGCCAGGAGACGCGCAGCTAAAATAAATAACAAGAGAAGACAATTTTTTTTATTATGATCTCGAATTCCATACTCTGTGGTTCTTTCGGTAAAGTCACGTACATATAAACACAGACATAACTTCAACCGAGAAGATGGATACAAATTGAGCAATCCTTGGAAGGATGTTATTAACCAGGTGAAACCTTAACCGCTTCATAGTTTGCCATCAAATCCGCATCTCCAGTTTTCTTCAGCCTCCTACCCCCAGCCCCGCTCGCTGCCCTGCCCTGGCTTTGTCGCTGTGCAGCACCCCCCGTTCCCCCTACCCCACACCCCCACCCTCTCTATCCCTCCTCCCTGGCTCCGCACCCCCCCCCCCCCTCTCTTACCTATATAGCCTCTTGATACAAGCAGCCCCCCTTTTGCCCACTTTAGCAATTTGTTTCTTGCTGTGGTTGTCCCACCTGATGACGGACGCTTGTGTTGCGCCCGAAACGTCGTGATTTAATTTGTTTTATTTTCTACCTACGTGACTTTACCGAAAGAACCAAAGCGTATGGATCCCTGCAGTCACGAAAACTTCAAATCTAGATTGTCGCGAATTCTGTTCAATGAAAACCCCCTCAATATTTCAAGAGCGGTAATACTTGTGACCCCGTCACGAGACCAATGAAGACTCGATGGCATTGTCTTGTATTACACTATTATATTTTAGTCTGTAACGGAGCGTTGAAATGTTCGAATGAAGGACGCTTCTGTGATCTGTCCATGAAAGGTTCCGCGTAAAAATGAATACGTAATGAATACGTAATTTTACGTGATAATCTCAGGTGAATGTCACGTGAGAGTCTCAGGTGAATGTCACGTGAGAGTCTCAGGTGAATGTCACGTGAGAGTCTCAGGTGAATGTCACGTGATAATCTCAGGTGAATGTCACGTGAGAGTCTCAGGTGAATGTCACGTGAGAGTCTCAGGTGAATGTCACGTGAGAGTCTCAGGTGAATGTCACGTGATAATCTCAGGTGAATGTCACGCGAGAGTCTCAGGTGAATTTTACGTGAGAATCTCAGGTGAATGTCACGTGATAATCTCAGGTGAATGTCACGCGAGAGTCTCAGGTGAATGTCACGTGAGAGTCTCAGGTGAATGTTACGTGATAATCTCAGGTGAATGTCACGTGATAATCTCAGGTGAATGTCACGCGAGAGTCTCAGGTGAATGTCACGCGAGACTCTCAGGTGAATGGCACGTGATAATCTCAGGTGAATGTCACGTGAGAGTCTCAGGTGAATGTCACGCGAGAGTCTCAGGTGAATGTCACGCGAGAGTCTCAGGTGAATGTCACGTGAGACTCTCAGGTGAATGTCACGTGAGAATGTCAGGTGAATGTCACGTGAGAGTCTCAGGTGAATGTCACGCGAGAGTTTCAGGTGAATGTCACGTGAGAATCTCAGGTGAATGTCACGTGAGAATCTCAGGTGAATGTCACGTGAGAATCTCCGCAGCTGCTTGTCATCCAGGTGCTGCTGCTGACATTAAAGTCATGCGTGCTGATAACCGCAATGGGGTCATTTAAAGCGGTTGAAATTCAATGAGTACGTGAATACATTGTCCATGAATTTAGGTCACGGATATTTCACCAGTTATATGAAATGGATAATGATGCGTGAAGTCGTTTTTAAAGTAATTGATATATTTTAGTTTTTGCTGTTAAATATTGACATGGTTTATATTACTTAAATGTGTTTTATAATAACCGTATATCTAGACTAAATTACAATATTAAAGATGTGATTTAGAAACTCAAGAGTTGACAGAAGCAACGTTTGAAATTTCGATTTAAAGCTTTCGTGACTGCAATGATTCATCTTCTTTGGTTCTTTCGGTAAAGTCACGTAGAATGATAATAAAATAATAAATTGATAAAATAAAATAACACAATAATATTCTCACGACGTTTCGGCCACAACACAAGCGGCCTTCATCAGGTGAAGGGGGGCGAGACTGTCTGGTAGGACAGCGCTGGAGTCCGTTTTATAAAGTGATGTAAAGTGCCTAACATTGAACTATTTTCATTTACATTTTCAGGTCGAGTTTTCACCAGACCAGATCGAGGGTGAGTGTAAACAAATAATCCCGTGGTTCTTGGATGGATTTCTAACATCCCGTGTCAACTATCACTTTGAATAACACATTCACATTGGCCGGGCTGTGTTAGCAGTCAGTGGCTCTGTAAGCGTTTCCCTGCTGCAACCAGGCCTAGCCTAACTCCTCCTATCACTACCCCAACCTCTGTCACTACCTCTAGCCCAACCCCTATCACTACCCCAACCCCTATCACTACCCCAACCCCTATCACTACCCCAACCCCTATCACTACCCCTAATACCCCAACCCCTATCACTACCCCAACCCCTATCACTACCCCAACCCCTATCACTACCCCAACCCCTATCACTACCCGAACCCCTATCACTACCTCTAGCCCAACCCCTATCACTACCCCAACCCCTATCACTACCCCAACCCCTATCACTACCCCAACCCCTATCACTACCCCTAATACCCCAACCCCTATCACGACGCCAACCCCTATCACTACCCCTATCACTACCCCTAATACCCCAACCCCTATCACTACCCCAACCCCTATCACTACCCCTAATACCCCAACCCCTATCACGACCCCAACCCCTATCACTACCCCTAATACCCCAACCCCTATCGCTATCCCAACCTCTATCACTACCCCTAATACCCAAACCGCTCCTTAACCACTTCCACCTGTTCTCCTGTTATCTTAAACTACACCACAGCAAGAAACAATTGATGACGGACGCTTGTGTTGCACCCGAAACGTCGTGATTTAATTTATTTTATTTTATACCTACGTGACTTTACCGAAAGAACCAAAGAGTATGAATCCCTGCAGTCACGAATACTTCAAATCTAGATTATCGAGCGCGGGGCGCACCCATTGTGTTACTGGCCGGGCGGACGGGCAGAGACGCGTGCGAATTAAAATTAAATTCGAAACCGCCGTGGCAACTGCCGCGTCTGGGGATCGAATGGAGCCGGCCACCCCCCTTGGATTGTGTGTCTCTGCAGCTGTCCGCCGCCAACTTACGCCGCTGACGCGACACCGGCATATCCGTGTGTGACACTGTGTAACAAAAATATGTTTTTTGTTCCTGGGTAGTCAGTGTTATTTTCTAATTGCTTATGCCTCAAAAGTATATATTAAAAAAATGGTTATTATTCCCCACAAATTTTACTTTTGTGACCAGGACAGTGATATTTTGAAATTTACGCATTTTCAATGAGAACACGTGGTGTGCATTTGTGTCATTCCATCACATAAAGTCCTGGTCACAAAAACAAAGTTTGTGGGGAATAATAGCCATTTTCTATACTTTTGAGGCATCAGAAATTATAAAAGAACACTTTCTACCCAGGAACAAAAATCTTTTCCATAGTGTAATTTGGCACATCGATAATCAAAACAAAATCATTGGCAGCGCTCGCTGTTTTGCCCGTCTCGCTCCCACACACACCACACACACCACACTCACTCAACATTCATCTCCGCTCGAGCGATTCAATTAGCAGAATTAAAATTGTCGACGGTTGGACGGGCAGATTGTGGCGAAAACAAACAAACAAACAAGAATAATAAGAACCGGCAGCCGCAGTCGCGGTGTCGCTTACACGCGCGAGGGAGCCGCAGCCAATCGCGACCGTCAGAGTTAAACATCGAGGGGCATGATAGACAACACCCACAATCAAAGGGAGCAACTTCGCAACAGTCGCCGCCAGCCAGCTAGACAACTGCTTAATCTAATTTTAAGGGTGAGTGTTAGGGCCCCGCTTAATGTATCCGTGATTAAGTCACCGGCAGGCGCACCGAGGGACCGCAAATGTGCCAACACCGGACCCACTCCCCCATCACCTGCTCCCTCCCTCCGTCTCGCTTCCACATTCTCTGCGTTGGACTCCCCCACCACCACCTCTGCCAACACCGGACCCACTCCCCCATCACCTGCTCCCTCCTTCCTCCTCCTCCCTCCGTCTCGCTTCCACATTGTCTGCGTTGGACTCCCACCACCACCACCACCACCGCCGCCTGCTCAGTGTCTCACGTGGTGGTGGCTCTTATTGTAACGTTCCAGTTGTGAGTTGTCTGCACGGGTTCCTCCCCAATCTCACGCTCTCTCCATGCCAAACTTTATGTCGCGAAAGAATACAAACTCGATGCAATCGTCAATAAACACTGTCTGTGCCCTTAAACAATAATACAAATGTAATATGTAATAGGCGACGTTTCGGGTGATGGCCCTTCTTTGGTAGCACGTAGCACTGTTTTATGGAGCAGATTAAGAATCTGCATCGAAGAGGTATGCTGTACTTCATGCAGCCACGTGAGAATGGTGCACACAAGTGAAACATGCGCGGACACAGGCAGCGAAAGACGAGTTTCCAAAGAAGGATCAAACTAAACTTAACTATTATTTTTTATTTTACCAGGTAAGGCCTCACCGAGCTACGTATGTAGCTGTTTTTCAGAAGCGACCTGGCCATCACGAATGATAGCTCAACGAAGCGGAAATGTATAGCAGCCAAATACTCTAAACGCGTGCTTTCTAAATTTGGAGGCAAAACCCGCAGGGCCCAGAGGAAAATCCACTCGACCGCGGGGAGAGAGACATGCAAACTGCAAATATACAGGGTCGGGATCGAAGCCACAACCTCCTGTACAGCAGGCGAGGTAGTTAACATCTCCTAGCCACCGTGACACCCTGTGTGGCACCGCCCTCTAGAGCTGTCCCCCGCAGCTCCTCCCCTCGGTTCCTAGATATTATTTCACATTTTTACGGTGGAACAGATATCGAACAAAAATCTATCGTTTTATTTTGTACTGTATGCAGTGTTTACTGCGGATATATTTACTGTCCGTGCGATTGCACAACCAGCAGTGGAGTGAGCTTAAATGGGCATGTAGAGAGCAGTGCACTATTATTAGTGTAGGAACATTCATGGACAAAGAGATCAACTTAAGTTAAAAGAGGTTTCATTACTCTCAGAGGGCATGGGCAAATATAACTGCTCAACGTCACTTCCATTGATAGATCACGTCCCGTTAAGCAATGTTCAGACTGCATGACCATCAAATTTCAAGTTTAACGTAACCAAAATTGTTTGCATATCACATGAACACATAATTGCACATTGTGTACATTAGTAATGTAAACAAAAAATGACGTGTTTATTAGAAGGAATATCTTCAGCGGATGTAAAAAAATAACATGACTTCTTCCAAAATACAATGCGAAAATCTTTATGCATTTCAAATCTATGTAGATCTGGTCAGGGTTCCCGTAAATCACCTAATATTTGTGTGGCCAACCCCACTCTGAATCTCTACCCTCTCATCTGTCTTTGCTATCTAAATCTGCTCAAGCCTCCCGTGAATCACGTGACTTGTGTATAGCCACTCCCACCCTAAATCCCTCCCCTCTCCCCGCCCCCTTTAAAACGCTGTTGCTCTGTGAAGCTCACTTCTGCACGCTCCTTCCTCTCTCCCTCTCTTACCTCCCCTCTCATCATCATCATCACCACCCTCTCATCCCCGACATCTTGGCCCGTTCATTCCTTCTCGCCCTCCTTCCCTTCCTGCCCGGTGCTCTTTCTGTCTTCCTGCTGCTCATCTTGAACCGTGCCCTCTTTGTCCGTCTTGGGGACTTCCGTCCCGCCATCCCTTCCCTTTCCCGGTCACCTCGCCCGCCTAACTGTTCCCCTTTTGCGCAACCGGCTCAACTCCTCCTGCCGTGGTGTGCCATGGGTAAAAAAAAAAAAGTTGCGTACGCTTTACATATATACCGTAGCACAGTAGTAAACAGATGGAGTACTCAAGCTTTATACAGCATTAGACCTCCTTTGCAAGTACCAAAATATAATAATAGGGTTTTTCCCCTTTTTTCCGTCCCTTGGTGTGGACCAATCATTTTCAAGGACAATGCATATATTATCATAGTATGTCTTTTGTTTGCATTTTGACTGCAGGTATTGTGGTTAATGCAGACATGAATCCTTATTAAAAGGTTTCAGTTTTGTTACCAGAAAAAGGGGAAAAACCCTATTATTATATTTTGGTACTGGCAAAGGAAGTCTAATGATGTAGATGCTCACCCCGAGCCCTCATTACTTTGAGCTGTGTAACGCATTTTGGCGTCATCTGGTCGAGCACCAATTGGGTCGAGGCTCAAAAGAAAGCCGTCCCTTGGTGTGGACCAATCAGTATCAAGGACAATGCATATATTATCATAGTATGTTTTTTGTTTGCATTTTGACTGCAGGTATTGTGGTTAATGCAGACATGAATCCTTGTAAAAAGGTTTCAGTTTTGTTGCCAGAAAAAAGAGGAAAACCCCTATTATTACTCAAGCTTTAACAATGGCACGATTCGGAAAACACGTTGTGATTCTAATCTCTTTCTCACATGCAGAGTTTAAGGAAGCCTTCTCCCTGTTTGACCGCACGGGCGACGTCAAGATCACGTACTCCCAGTGTGGCGATGTCATGCGAGCCCTCGGCCAGAACCCGACCAACGCAGAGGTCCTGAAAGTGCTCAACAAGCCCAAGCCAGAGGGTGAGGGGACCGCAGCACCACCATCGCCACCACCACCGGTGGTTTGCTTTGCTCTAAAACGCGGTGGCACCTGTTTGTCTATGCCACGTGCAGTCCGTTTCCTTATTCGGCACCTCACTCACTTGCGTCGTTGAAGATTTTCGCACTCAGGACGGTCTAATGACAATACAACTCTTTAATAATCATGAAAAAAACGGGAACAACCAAAAAAAACACAACTCATACCATAGCTCCACCCTCACTGTTCAAAACGGCGGGAAGAAAATGGCTCCATCTCTTTTACCATAACGCCCAAATGTAAGTTGTCTACACGTGTTTCAAATATAGAACTCCTCTTATCCGTGACCCGATTACCCGCTACTTCTATTAACAGCGGATATTGTATGGTCCACGGCTCTATACATTACTATGCTTTGTTATCGGCAATGTAGGGTTGCTTTTTCTATTAACATTGGAGAAAGAGGAGTTTGCCTTCATTTACTCTCCCATGCAATTCCCTCAATATTATCAGGCACCAATGCAGACTTCGGGACGTGCTTCATCGGCAATAGAAAGATGGACAAATAGCTCGATCCGGATATACAGCGAGTCTTAACGAGATTTAGAATTTATTAACTATGCCTTGAGACACTTTGTCCAAGGACACGAATCAAACAGTGGCGGATAATAACTTCTCACATCTACGCAGCGCCATCGTGCGCCAACAACTTCAAAACACCACGTACCACACCGACTTTTTCAAAATGCTCCATAGCGCTCCCCGCACGTCGGCAAATCACAGAACACCGAGTCCTACCAACTCCGGTCAAAGCCAGACTTTGTGGCGCCTTGGCTTCCGGAGATGGGGGCGAATCAATGTCACAACGTGACATTGACATTGATTCGTCGTTTAACGAGAGGCTTCTAAACGTTCAACGGTGGCATACGTCAATTTCCCGTCAGTTTTTCCAGCGCATGAAATGGACTGACCCCCAGTGTCCGCCCACCCCCCCCCCACCGATGCTGAATTGCAGAGATGCTGATCAAGGACATGGACTTTGAGACCTTCTTGCCCACGCTGCAACACGTCGCCAACTCCAAGGACCGCGGCACTCTGGAGGACTTTGTGGAGGGCCTGCGCGTGTTCGACAAGGAAGGCAATGGCACCGTGATGGGCGCTGAGCTTCGTCACGTCCTTGCGACGCTCGGTGAGAGGAGCGAGTAGACACCACCATCGCCGTCGGCAATAGAGGCGGCGAGATGTTAGCCACCTTCGCCTGGTATGCAGGAGGTAGTGATGTTAGATTCCAACCCTGGCGATTATTATTTATTTGGAGTTTGCGTGTTTCTTTCCGTGGTCGTGTGGATTTTCCTTCGGGTCCTCCGGTTTTTCCTTTTCGTTTAGAATCAACATCACGCATTTATATTATTTGGCTGCGATACATTTCCACGTGATGAGCCACTTTGTTGAGCTTTCATTTGTGGCCATGGTCACTGCTGAAAAATAGCTTTATAGCTCAGTGGGCTTTACCTGGTAAAATAAAAATTTGTACAGTCGTAGGATTTTTTTTGTGGAGGATCGCGTAAGTATAAATGTGTCATTAAACCCGACACCAACCGATGCAGCCAACTCGTAAGGTTTGTCACGTAAACAGAGGTGACAATTCGTCACTATTTCAGTTCACAATGGTGTGTCGGAGAGTAAACACGCAACATTTACAATTCGAGTACAGTAAAATCTTGGATTGCGAGTAACTTGGTCTGCGAGTGTTTTACAAGACGAGCAATTTTTTTTAAATAAATATTAATTTGATAAACGAGCGAGAGGGTGTTGCAATACGAGTAGTAGTACGTATACGCTTTGTACTGCCGAGCGTCACGTGATCACAACTGATATACGAGTGCTTTGATATACGAGCGCTTTGATATACGAGTGCTTTGGATTACAAACACATTTCTGGAACGAACTATGCTCGCAATCCAAGGTTTTACTGTACTGTGATGTTTCGCCGGTGATTGCAACCAGCGATTAGCCAGAAATGTGAAAAAGTTCTCCTGTTTCGGTCTTAAATAGAGCAACGGTGATGTCATCGCTGTGAGCCTATCTGGTGCGAAGACCAAGCGGGGTTAATGTTATCATATTCATTACAATGGATCATGTTAATCTGAAAATATTCAGTACCTACAGTATTACGAGTTTGGTTATGTACAGTTAAGTAACATACAGTGGAATGCTCTTATGTTCAGTTTGTTGTACATACATTATGTTAACCTGAGAATATACAGAGAATATGCAGTTGCCACTATTGGTTTCTCACAGTTAATCAACATAGAGTGGAATGCTTTTACGTTTATCTGAGAATATAGTGCACTGCGCCATGAATCCACTCATGGTCGACACCAGTGACAATTACCTGAACCGGTCTTGGGCTTCCCCTAGGTCGACTCAGCCTCAATTGAATACCTGGTGCGGTGTGTAAACATCACCACTAGGGAGGCAAAGGCGGCCAGGCGTGGTGTTGGCCACCCACCCTCTTCGTGTGCTGTGCCGGCCTTAATCGTAATTTAAATGTATAAAGCTCCCTTTAACAATCATTCTCAGGGCGCTCTATAGGTGCTTGCTAACAGCACTTGCTCTAACAGTATGTTAGAGTCTATAACGGGGATCTTTGTTTACTCGTGCTCAGGCTGTGCATGTTTGTGTCATTTGTATGAGTATTACAAATTGGGGGGTCTCGTGTAATTACGTTTTCAATGAGAGGTCTCAATCTGCAGTGGAATCCAATGAGTGAGCAATGCAGAATCTGAGAAAGTGGTGAGCCATTGACTGTACATTTAAAAGACTGAAATGTCGCAGTCGGGCGGGAAGACGAGGTGCAATTTTATTTTGTTTTAACCATCCGATAAATTTAGAGTCCGGGATGAGTCTCATTTGCAAAAGTGACCTGGATCCCCAACATGACAAAGACAAAATAAAATTCGGCAATAGTAAAGCAATCAGAACAAAAGCAAATACTGTACAACAAAGCCACCGCATCACATGATGAATCAAAGTTATTGCACAGACATTCATTAAGTTAAATCAAAGCTGAAAATACAAATTCCCTGCAGCAAAAATAGGCTCTAAGCAGATCACCTGCAGATTGATAACAAAGACACATTTCCAAAACTGAGCTACCGAAGCACTAAACATTAAACAGATGCAGTGTATCGGTTTAACTATAGTCACTGATATTTAAACAAATACCGCACGGATGTTCGTCAAAAGCAATTGCAGGGCGAATTTCTAAAGAATCGACAGTGTCGCGTTAAAATTGTGATTTCTATGGGAAGTCAACGTCCCGCGATATGGGGCATGAAGGATATTTGAGTGACACGTGCGGATTGTGTGTGCAGGGGAGAAGATGACTGAGGATGAAGTAGAACAGCTGATGTCTGGACAGGAGGACAGCAATGGAGA